CACGGGTCTCCTCCGTCCACCCATCGCCTCCAAACCGACAAGAGCCTCCAAACAACCGCCGACGTTGCGGTGTCGGTTGGAGTCCGGTGCCAGGGCTGGTGGTTGGGGGGGGGCATGGGGGCACGTGTGGGGTGAGGACCCCTCCCAAGGACCCCCCCCCACACCCTTGCAGGCTACATGTTCCAATGTACTTGAGAAGCGTTCGACCCCCCGAGGCTCCAATGGGGGGGGGGGGGGGGGGGGGTAATTCTGACCGTGAGACACCGGGCACCTCGCGAGACTGAATGTGATAGGTTTGCAACCGTTCACTCGTGAGCTATGGTTCATCAGCACCGCGACGGGGAGTAGTGGTAAACTTCAATGGGTGGTTGTTAGCCTCCCCCTCCTCCCCCCAGCGTCCCTTGGGGTGCTACGCGAACCCAGCGGGCAGAGAGATCAGCCTCGTTCACGGGACTGGCGGAGCGTGGCAAAGTTGCGCCTGGTGAGCGAAGTTCGCTTCCTCCAGAGGCCGGTGACCGACGCGAGCGGCACGGCTTAGCGCTGTCGTCTCTGCCGAGTGCCTCGTGTCTGCCCCTACGCAGTGCCGGGTGATCCGAGTAGCAAAAGTAGCTACACATGTAGTAGTAGTAGTAGCTACTACACATGTAGTAGTAGTAGCTTCTACACATGTAGTAGTAGTAGCTTCTACACATGTAGTAGTAGCTACTACACATGTAGTAGTAGTAGCTTCTACACATGTAGTAGTAGCTTCTACACATGTAGTAGTAGTAGCTTCTACACATGTAGTAGTAGTAGCTTCTACACATGTAGTAGTAGTAGCTTCTACACATGTAGTAGTAGCTACTACACATGTAGTAGTAGTAGCTTCTACACATGTAGTAGTAGCTTCTACACATGTAGTAGTAGTAGCTTCTACACATGTAGTAGTAGTAGCTTCTACACATGTAGTAGTAGTAGCTACTACACATGTAGTAGTAGTAGCTTCTACACATGTAGTAGTAGTAGCTACTACACATGTAGTAGTAGCCACTACACATGTGTAGCAGCTACACATGTGTAGCAGCTACACATGTGTAGTGCGGGGCCCGTAGCTACTACACACATGTGTAATAGCTACGGGCCCCGCACTTTCAAGGGCCCCGCGCTAAATGCTTTCAAGCTATCAACTCCGGTTCAGTGATTCTGCACTTGCTCTATTACTATAGTACTATACCGCCTTCAACTTTTACGAACGACTGGTTGTTTAAGTTTATCGATTTGTCGTATTATCTGTTGCTCTATAGCAAATGAAAAAATACAATTACTTTACTGTGCAAGTTCAACATGCATGTGTTTTAACATGTATGTTTTTTTAGAGCCCCTTTATAACATATGCTACAGGCCCCGCAATAGCTTCATCCGGCTCTGCTGGTGTTCGCTCCCGACTCTGACGCCTGCTGTGTATTTGGAGTTTGCGGTGTCTCTCCCCCCGTGGTCGCGCCGACTTTTCTCGGGGGATCCTCGGGTTTCTCCCCTCCACATTTAGAAATTAGCGTCGCACGATTCGAGTATTTTGATGATATTCGGTAAAGTCATGTAGGTAAAACAAATTAAAATAAATTGAAATAAAATGAAAGAAACAATTAAAACACGACGTTTCGGAGGCAGAGCAAGCTTCCGTCTTCAGGTGGGACCAGTCACAGCAAAATTGCTGCACCAAGGGACCAGTCACAGCGATTTTGCTTTGACTGGTCCCACCTGAAGACGGAAGAGCTTGCTTTGCCTCCGAAACGTCGTGTTTTAATTGTTTCTTTCATTTTATTTCAATTTATTTTAATTTGTTTTACCTACGTGACTTTACCGAATAGAACCAAAGAGTATGAATCCTTGCAGTCAAGAAAGCTTCAAATCTAGAATTATTTTGATGCTGCTGGTGATAAGCCGCTCCGTTGAGCTGTCATTTGCGGCCAGGTCGCTTCTGAAAAAGAGCTACACAGACCAGTGGGGCCCTTACCTGGTAAAATAAAATAAAAATGGTTTAGTTTCCGTAGGTAAATGTCAGGCCTGGAAATTGATCGGCACTGCCCGCGCACGTGCGCGGGATACGCGGCGTGACGTCATCACGCACGAACCCGGCTCGCCGTGGGACGCGGGTGACGTCATCACGCAGCTGTGCGCGGTGGCGTCACCAACCGCGCACTTGCCCGCCCGCGTGCCAGCCAGCTAAACTTTTCTGTTTAAATCGTGTAATAAATAGCGTAATAAATATTGCAATTAAATAACAGAAATTTTGCTAAAAATCTATCAGCAAACACAAACGGACGCGCGGCGCCGGTGCTTGATTGGTTTTACGCATCGGACGGCGGTCAGAAAACTGCGCCACATTTAATTTGCACGAAAGCTCCTCGTGTTGAACACTCGCTGTCGAATTGGCCATCGCATCATCCCCCCCTCCCCAACCCCCCCTCCTGTGTTGTGGGAATGATGAGTTCGCGCAATGATGCAGCTGCTGCAGTGGTGACATCTCCAGTTTTCTGGAGCTGCTCACCCCGAGCCACAGATGCTCTCTCTGACACGTGTGGCATTGCCCTTGGACTGTTCGCCTTGTGGCGTTGTTCGCTGGTCTGACACTGGTGGTGGGACTAGGCCATGAAGAAAGCTGCTGTCTCTGGTGTAGGCCAATCAGTTTCAAAGAACAATGCCATGGATCACCGGAGCATGTCTTTTTTGCATGTTCACCACAGAGTACCGTGTGCGGTTAATGCACGCATGGCTCCATGCAAGAGGTTTATATTTGGTGTTTGGACATCTTAACGCCTGTTTTATTGCCAGACAGGGTAACACAATTTCGATTTAAAGCTTTCGTGACTGCAATGATTCATCTTCTTTGGTTCTTTCGGTAAAGTCACGTAGAATGAGAATAAAATAATAATATAATAAATTTATAAAATAAAATAACACAATAACAGCGCTGTCCTACCAGACAGTCTCGTCCCTTCACCTGATGAAGGTCGCTTGTGTTGTGGCCGAAACGTCGTGAGAATATTATTGTGTTATTTTATTTTATCAATTTATTATTTTATTCTCATTCTACGTGACTTTACCGAAAGAACCAAAGAAGAGGGTAACACAATCTTCTCATTGCGCTCATGCTTCGACCTATCGCGTAGGAGGGGTTTTTGGCGAGCAATGTTATTCATGAGAGGATTTATTTTGGGTTCGGTCGCGTAAATACAAAATGCGTCGTTAACCCACCGCCACCCGACACAGCCAATTATTAAGGATTGTCACGTAAACAAAACGTGCAAATTAGTATCTACTTCAGCACACACCGGTGTGTTGGAGGGTAAAACCCACAATTACAATTTGAGGACCTCTGACGTTTCGCTGGTGTTGACAGCCAGCTTCATGAACCTCTTCACACAAAGCACGCAGAGTTGGTTGCAATTCGGCTTTGAATGACCGCTCCCTGTACTCTATTGGCGCTCCTGAAGGCAGTTTGTAGGAAATTACACGTTGCTATGGCGGGAACGTGTACACCCATTGGACGGTCACTGGTTTTTACGATTTTGCATGAAGGGAGAATAATGCAATACGATACATATTCAATGGTGATCACCACCAATCTGCGCTGGTACCAGCGTGGTGAAGTATGGTCAAATAAACCCCCACGACTCGCACGTGCGCGGGGAGGCCCTCATCCGGCAGTGGATTTACATCCAGCAGTGGCGTGAGTTCATAGTGCGGCACATGGGCCGCGGGTAGATGAGACGGATGAAGATGATGATATTGTAGATGATGATGTAAATTATTATTTCGATAGATTGAACCGCGGTGATTGCAATGACGGTGGTCATGATGGTGTTAATGCCTCTGCTGCTAATGATGATGTATGTCAATTAATTACGATTTATTAATATTTAACGACTGCAATTTGATGATGACCATCATCACAATAACGATTAAAAGTGATGATGGTACAGGGACTCCTCTACTTACGAACACTCGACTTAGGAACTTTCAGAGATACGAACAAACCTTGTCTGTACGTCCAGTTGCCTGTTCGGACAGAGAGTCGTGAGTTCAACCATCGCGCAATAGATGGCTGTGGTGGCATCTACATCTGCAGAACGTGAAGAACCAGTGGCATCTATGTCTACAGAACGTGAAGAACCAGTGGCATCTTCATCTGCAAAAGGTGACGAACCAGTGGCACCTACATCTGCAGAACATGAAGAACCAGTGGCATCTACATCTGCAGAACATAAAGAACCAGTGGCATCTACATCTGCAGAACGTGAAGAACCAGTGGCATCTACATATGCAGAAGGTAAAGAACCAGTGGCATTTACATCTGCAGAACGTGAAAAACCAGTGGCATCTACATCTGCAGAACGTGAAGAACCAGTGGCATCTACGTCTACAGAACGTGAAGAACCAGTGGCATCTTCATCTGCAGAAGGTGAAGAACCAGTGGCATCTACATCTGCAGAACATGAAGAACCAGTGGCATCTACATCTGCAGAACATGAAGAACCAGTGGCATCTACATCTGCAGAACATGAAGAACCAGTGGCATCTACATCTGCAGAACATGAAGAACCAGTGGCATCTGCATCTGCAGAACATAAAGAACCAGTGGCATCTACATATGCAGAACATGAAGAACCATTGGCATCTACATCTGCAGAACATGAAGAACCAGTGGCATCTACATCTACAGGAGATTATACAACTTTTAAAACCATTCCCCGTATTTAGTGTACATGCCGTACAACTTGTTTGGAATGGACAGGAGCAGAGTTGGACTTACGAACAGACCTCTGGAACCTAACTCGTTCGTAAGTAGATGAGTCCCTTGACACGATTATGTGAATCATAAAGTCAGTGATGCGGCCGGACCTGATGATGCAGCTACTGCTGCTGATGATCGCGACGGAAAGAGACAGTGTTGTACTGTACCTCTGTGTGACTCCGGCCCGGCGTACACTTAGCGTCTCATAACAGAATGCGCCGTAACATTTAACGTAACACTCGGTTTATTTGCTTCGCTAAATTAGCAAAGTCATATCGTGGCATGGTTTAAATTAACATCGCAAATTCTTGTCATATTCATATCATAACCAGAACAGCACAATGGTACAATACGCTTAAATGTTTTGTTTTCTTCTATGTACATTTACATTCCGAACAAAAATACACATCTCGTATATTAATAATAATTATGTTTATATATACAGGCTTGCGACAGGAGGGGATGGGAAGAGGACACGATCACGGTTGGCTACGTAGGGTGCGAAAGAAGTTCAACATACATACAAAGGACATGAGTGAGTCTGCATGTTGGTTACCTTTATTTCAACAGTAAGAGCGGCCTCTAGACCGTGACGCGTGGATGTCTCTCTGTGATCATCATCTCAAACTCGGCCAGTCTATAGGAATTTTAGTATTACATTAATATTTTCCCACGATACGATATCGAATGTCAAGGATCTAACGATGCATCGCGATATCCGTATCGCCCACAACTTTGCAATCGTATTCGCGATGCTGTTGAACGTTGTTGTGCTTTGCTGTTTTTTTTTCTGGAAGGAATGAAATATAGAATGAAGACGACTTTAGAAGTCTTGCAACTGCGGTGTTACCGCACGTGGTCTCTTCTGCGACGTGGGATGTGAAAGCTTGAGCAGAGTAACACAAAGACCCGACAGAGCAAACGACGAGCAGTAGAACTGTGTTTGTTCTAATGATGCCCAAAATGTCACGGACGGACGAGATGAATACCAACGATGATGTATGGTGGATATCAGCAGCGTGGTGCAAACACAAGAACATGAATAACAATTGGGAGAAAGGCGAAGTTAGAATTCTGAAACGTGCGATGAGAAAACGAGAGACTCGACTTGCGACATCGGAGGGACCGCAAGAAGCCGGGGAAGAGAGCGAATTAAGCCGCATAAGCTACTTGAACGATAGGATGCATCTGGGAGAATCTTAACGCGAAGTTGCTGAGCGATATCGTGGGCTAAGGCTCCATTGGCGGAATGTCACGGTTGCCGAATGTTTTTGATGAAAGGCGCTGCTGCAGTCTACTTAACTAAAGTTTGCCATTGCAATGTGTAACGCTCATCGCGCGCATGCTGACAGGCTCTGAGTTACGATTATTGAAGCGACCTGCAAATATGATGACGCCATATTTAACTATACCATGCCGTCAATTCGTAAGTTAAAATAATAATCACTGCTCTGCAGGAATGGTATGGTTAATATAGATTACCGTATACACTTTAATTGTAAAGTTTGTAATTTTATGAATATTTTGTCAGGGAAAATTTGTTTCCATTTTTCGTTACATTTTAAGTAACGTAACACGAGCGACGGTAATCGCTGCACTACGAACCCGGCGACCCGAGTTCGATTCCCGCTCACGGCCAACACCGGTGATGGTTTTCTGAACCGGTCATGGGCCTCCCCTAGGTCCACTCTGGGTCCTCCGGTTTTGTTCCTCCACTTTTAGAATCGTGCGTTTTAGAATATTTGGCTGCTGTAAATGTGCACGTGATAAGCCACTTCATTTGTGGCCAGGTCGCTTCTGAAAAAAAGAGCTATACAGCTCAATAGGCCTTTTGAAAAAAGCAAAGTTTAAATAGCTTAAGCGGTGCGGTGTGTAAATATCGCCACTAGGGAGACAAAGGCGGCCGGGCGTGGTGTTGTTCACCCACCCCATCGTGTGCCTTGCCGGCCTTTATAGGTGCTCGCTAACAGCACTTGCCCCTACAAGTCTGTTATGGCTACACGGGGGATCTTTGTCTTTGTTGCGTGGTGACGGAACAGTAAGGACGCAGAGGTTGGAAGGCGCTCTATGCCGAACGTGAGCATGTGGCCAGCAACGTGGACTTTTTATGTCGATGTTAAAATCATTGCTACTATTATCAACGAGTGCATTCACGAATGCAGATTTGATTGTTGAAGGGGGTTACCTGTTACTGGACTAGCTCCTGATAGTGTTAACTATTCACGTGCCGATTACAAAAAGCACGTGGTATTTTTTAGCAGACTGTAATAATCATTTTTATTGGCTGTCGGGTGGTGGCGGTTTTATTGATGCGTTTATATTTACGCGATGTAACCCAACACAAACTCTTATGATGTGTAATTATCATCTTGGCGCCGTGCTGTAAACAAGTGTGGTCTCCGACTCTGATGACCATCCCACCCCATCTCTCTACAGTAGTGTGTGTACTCTGTATGGGGAGCGGTAGTGTCGCTGTTAGCGCGCTGAGCTACTAGCACGGCCATCCAGAGTTCCATTCCCGCTCACGGCAAACATCGGTGACGAATAGTTGAACCGGTCCAGGGCCTAACCTTAGGTCGACTCAGACTTAAATGAGTACCTGATGCAGCGTATGGACATCGAGTACTGGGAGACGGCTTTAATAGTTGCTCGCTAACAGCCTTCGCCCCCCCCCCCCCTCCCCCCCCCCGGTCTGTCGAAGGCTCTACGGGGAGATCGGCGTCTCGTGCGCGTGGGTGTCACACGCGGTGCGTCGAGACGCGCCCTCCGCGTCACGTGGGGGGGGGGGGGGGGGGTGCCGTTGAGCAACTATGAGGCGCGTGCGGCGTGCGTCGCGTGCCCGTTCCCCTTCGCTTGCACTCGAAGGGAGAAGGCCGACGGCGCGCGCGGAGGGCGCGAGTCCCGTGGTCTGTCGCGAGGATACACGGGGTTCGAGAAGACGCCGTTCCACGTGGTCGACGTTTGCTGCCTCCAAGTGGCGTAACGCGTGCGGGATGATGATGCACCGCCAAACCCTTAGAGGGCATTGGGCTGGCCGAGTAATTTCGCCGATAAATAGCCGTGGGCTTGTGAATATTTTCTTTCGGAGGCGAACGGGAGAGAACGAAAGAGTGGGATCACGAATTTAAATCGGTCAACGTGGTTCCATAGCATCCGAACAGCCCAAAGCCGGTGATGGAATTTCGACATTCTTATGGCAAGGCCGAGTAAGTCCATTCTACAACCACAGTTGCCTTCCCACAACGTGGTACTCGATTTATCGACCCTATACGCATGGACATGAACTAATCCTTTATCCGTCGACGTTTTTATTCCACCCTGATTTTTTTGGGAGGTGGGGGGGGGGAGAGGGGGGGAGGGTGCACTTTCATAAAAGTGTCTCCGAGTACTTGAATGGACAAGGGACACAGGAGGAGGTGGACTTCTGATTAATGGGTGAATGGCTTCCTTCCCGTCAGCCCCCTGTAGTGGATATGGGATTAGACTATTAGATGTCAGGGGGTTGAAGGTGGACATGGATGGAAGAAGTGGTGATGACATTTTTGGGGGGGGGGGGGGATGGAGGGAGGCCTCCAGAACCTTAGGACTCACGACTGAGGGCCGAGTAGTCAAGACAACCCAGGACCTGGAACCTGGAACCCAGCAACTAGGACCTTAAATCCCAGGCCCATGATGCGTGTAACCAAGACAGCCCCCCAGCGACCTGACAACCGTGTCCTAGGAAGAACCTTAAGACGAAGAAAACAGGACCCGGCTCAGAGAGCTCCCTCCCTCCACATCCACCAAGAAGCACCGCCCCCCCCCCCTCTCTCTCCGGCGTCTCGCTTATTTCCTCCGGCCGATGCGCGCCATGAGCTTGGCGTTGTGCGCCGCCTTGGAGCGCGTATCGCTCGCCTTGGCGTGGTCGATGAGGATGCTCAGGATGTTGGTGGGAACGTCCAGGGACAGCGCGAACTTGGCGCCCTTGCCAGCCCGCTTGCCTTGGAGGTGCGCGTTGGTCCTCCGCCCCTTCCACTGCGCCGAGCGCCACGAGCCTCCCGCCCTGAGCCCCAGCTGTCGGTCTTCTACCTCGTTCACCTCTTCCTCGTCATCCTCCTCCTCGTCATCCTCCTCGCCGTAGTCGCTCTCCTGGCCGCCGTCGTCGCCACCGCCGCCGCCGCCCTGGATGGCGCGCAACTTGTGGTGGTAACCAAAGGAGGAGAGGAGGCGGCCGAGTTCCCCGGGCAGAAGGAAGGGACCCTCCTGCCCCGGACTCACGGGGCCGGAGTTCGCGCCCCGACACAGGAGGAGGAGCAGGAGGAGCCAGCGGCAGCACGTGGAAGGCATCGCGCGGGTCGAGCGTGGAGTGAGCAGCTCTCCGCCTGCACGCGGGGGAAACAAAAAAAAAACAAAGATCCCCCGTGTAGCCTTAACATACTGTAGGGTCAAGTGCTGTTAGCGAGCACCTATGAAGGCCGGAACGGTACACGAGGGGGTGGGTGGCCAGCACCACGCCCGACCGCCTTTGTCTCCTCGTTGGCGATTTTTACACACCGCACCGGGTACAAATTTGAGGCTGAGTCGACCTAGGGGAGGCCCAAGACCAGTTCAGATAATCATCACCGGTGTTGGCCGTGAGCGGGAATCGAACCCGGGTCGCCGGGTTCTTTGCGCAGCGTAGCGCTAATCACGACACTACCGCTCCCCAAACACACACGCACACACACATACGCACACACACATGCACACACGCACACACACAGACGCGTGGCCTCCGTGGGGGTTAGAGGTCCCGCCGGTAGGTGGAGGTGGTGGACGCGGTTGGCAGAGTTGTTGGTAACGTTTTGTAGAGGAGGGGAGGGCCTCAGGACACTCACAACCCAAGGACCCCAGGCCAGTGGCGTAGTAACCGCATTTTATCAGCTCAGGGGGTTTGGCAATCGGACAGGTGGGAGGGGAGTCCCAATATTTGATTTGCGCATTTTGCGGAAGCCGAACGTTACCGCTCTAATTGAATTGAAATAAAACGTGGAACATAAATGAAAGCGTTTTCATAAAAAAAAATAGACCGCGTTTTAAATAAGTGTGTTTTTTTTACATTGTGGAAAACATTCCTCGTGGTGGTTGTCAAGGGAGCCCCTACCCGTAGCTTTGGCCACGAAGGGAGTTGGGGTGGGTGGAGGGGGGGGCAAGGCACCCCTGCCCCCAGCGAGTCACGCTACTCACCTCGTCTCTTTAATCCAGGACCCAAGACAATACAGAACCTGGTGCCTGGCACCCAGCAGCTAGGACGTTAAGACAAAGGACTCAGAAGGCAAAAAACAGGACTTGGAACTCTTAGGATCGAGTGCCCCAGACGAACCGGGACATGCAACCCAGGTCACCTCCACAAACCAAGGTGGCCTCCGTGTATATGTACACACGTGTATATGTACACGCGTGTATATGTACACACGTGTATATATACACGCGTGCAATGCGCAGTCCCTTTGTCAATCCACTGCGGGATGAGGTCCTCCCTACGCCTAGCGGGCCGTGCGGGTTATTTGACCCTGGTGATTAGCGCGGGTTGTGGTGAAGGTGGACAATGCAGACGTGAGACGCTTAGAACTACAGTGCAGCACACTACAACAATGGGTGTTGATGCGCTGCCCTCTGCTGCCAACAACCTGGCCACGATGGTCGCCGACCGAGCAGCTCTGTCCAGGTTCAAAACCTGCTTAGATTGTGACAGAGCGCCTCGTGGACAGATATTAACTACCTCGCCTGGTTTACACGAGGTCGTGGGTCAAATCCCGACCGTGAAGCCTCTACGTTTGGAGTTTGCGGTGTCTCTCTCCTCGCGGATTGTTCTCCGGGTGCACCGGTGTTTCCCCTCCACATTTGGAATCAACACGCGATTCGAGTATTTGGCTGCTATACGGTCGGGAGTGTTATTTGAGTGGCCTCCTGTTGTCCGGTGAGCGCTAAGGTGAGTTGTCCACGTCACCCGATTCGTAGCAAGGGGGCTGCCCTCTGATCTGACGCTGCGTTTCCACGACCACGATGATAGCCCCGCTTGCTAGGAGGTTTCGGGCACGTGGGCCGTGCTTGGAGTCTCGAGGCAAAGCTGCCGAGGTGTTCCCGGGACGGGCTCGCTTTGCTGTGGGAGCTATCCCACGTACATCTGGGCAGCCCTCTAAACACGGGGGTCAAGTCTTGATGTTAACTACCTCGCCTGGTGTACAGGGGGTCGTGCACGATCCCGACTTTGACGCCTGCTGTGTATTTGGAGTTTGCGGCGTCTCTCTCTCTCTCCTCGTGGTCGCGCGGACTTTTCCCTGGGACCTCCGTTTTTTCCCCCTCCACATTTAGAATGAACAAAACGGGTTTAGAGTATTTGGCTGCTGTGCATTTCCACGTGATGCTAAGCTACTTCGTTGAGATATCATTTGTGGCCAGGTCACTTCTGAAAAATAATTATATAGCTCAGTTCGCCTTTCCTGGTAAAATAAAATGTAGTTTAGGTTATATTTATGGAACTTTTTACCTATATCCAAAATGATGAAGAATGAGAATACGGTTTACCCTTTCTGGAAAAAAAATAGGTGTTAAGATGTTCAAACACCAGACAGATACCTTTGGCAAGACATGACCTCTGCATTAACCACACTTATTTATGGCAAAACATGCAAACATTCCCTGATAATCTATGCGCTGTCTTTGAAACTGATTGGCCTACACCAGAGACAACCTTCTTGATGTTTTGCAAAAGATATCTCTTTGGTGACTTTACCGAAAGACCGAAAGAATATAAATCCCTGCAGTCACGAAAGCTTTAAGTCAATATTTATATATTTTTGGTGTTTGAACATTTTAACGTCTGTTTCATTTCCAGAAAGGGTAAAACCTATTCTTATTTTTCATCAGTTTAGTTTACAGTTTTACACCATATTCTTAGCTCTTTCGGTAAAGTCACGTTGAAGGGAAACAATAAAATATATATAAAACAATAAAAATTCTCACGACGTTTCGACCATAACACAAACGGTCATCATCAGGTGTGAAAAACCAACGGCAAGAAACATTGGTTGGTTTTTCACACCTGATGATGACCGTTTGTGTTATGGTCGAAACGTCGTGGGAATTTTTGTATTGTTATATATATATTATTATTTTATTGTTTCCCTTCAACGTGACTTTACACCAGTTGAGATTGCGCGAAAGTTCCGGCTCATTTGGTGATGGAGGCTGCCCGGCAGCGAACGAGGGAGGTTTTCATAACGGCCGTGTCAGAGACACCAATCCGGCACCGCTGATGAGAGCCGTGTGTTTGAACCTCGATGGGTCACTGTTCCGAGTCATAAATAACAAATCACGTCGCTTATTGAACAGCTGGTAAGTGTCCAGCCCCTTGGGTCAAGCCCACTGCTGTGGATTGAGGCTTCCCAATGGACACGTTGTTTGACCATGCTTAGCCGCGCTGCTGGTCAGTGCGGGTTGATGAAGAGAAGGGGGAGGCGTACAGACTCGGCGAAATTGGCACACGCCACTGATGTTAGCCGTGGCCGGGAATTTAACTCTGGCGTCTAGATTTGTAGGGCAGTGCGGTGCTAACCACTGCGCCACAGCCCCACCACTTTGCCGCAGTTGTAACGATTCCCCTCCGATTATTTTGCAACGGTAATCGAGAATTCCCCGTCCAGAGTGCGACATACATGTGTGTGGAGGAGCGGTGGCGCAGTGATTAGCGCTGCGCTACAAACACGGCGATCCGAGTTCGTTACGCGCTCACGGAACAACATCAGTGAAGAATATCCGAACCGATCCTGAGCCTCCCCAAAGTCGACTCAGCCTCAAATGAGTAACCTTGTGCGTAAAAATATCGCCACTGGGGAAACAAAGGCGGTCGGGCGTGGTGCTGGCCACCCACCCCCTTGTGTGCCGTTCTGGCCTTCATAGGTGCTCGCTAACAGCACTTGCCCCAACCGTCTATGAAAGTTATACGGGGGATCTTTGTTTTTGTGTGTCCTCGTGTCTCTGTGCATTGTGCGGAACGGTGGTGTAGCGGTTAGCACACGCTGCAAACCTGGCTGATCCGAGTTCGATTCCCGCTCACGGAACAGCACCACTGACGATTATTCTGAACCGGTCCTGGGTTGACTCAGCCTCAAAAGAGTACTTGGTGCAGTGGGCAAAAATTGCCAGGAGGAAGACAAAGGCGGTTGGGCGTGGTGCTGGCCCACACACACACCCTCGTGTACCATGCTGGCCTTGTGTAGGTGCAACTCGCGAACAGCGCTTTCCGCAAAAGTGTGCGTGTGAGTGCGTTCCCTTACCTCTTCGCGGCTCTTGCTCCAGCGGCTAGCAGCAGTAGCAGCAGTAGCAGCAGCAGCAGTAGCAGCAGCAGGACTCGCGTGGCCGCGGGATTAGCGAGTTGAGATCGCCCTGGGAAGTCGGTGGGGCTGCTCCCCTTCGCCACAATCTCTCTCTCCTCTCTCTCCCGTCGCTCTCGAGAGCGCTGCTTTTTAAGCTTTCGGCCCCTTTCTCGAGTGATTATGAAGAACGCGGCGAGTGGGTTGGGGGGTTTATTAGCACCGATACATTGCACCCCCCCCCCCACCCTTCCTTCCCAAGGGCTATTTAAAGCTCAGCCTAGACGCGCGCTTTCATCCACCCAAGTTCTGCCCCCCCCCCCCCCCGACCGCCTCTCTCTCCTCCCCTCCCTCGAACCTCGCACCTCCAGCTCCTTCCCGACTCTCTCACTCCCCTTTCATCCCCTTTCCATCCCCGTCCATCGCTTTCGCCATGCACAGCCCCACCCAGGGATGGTAATTTTTTTCCACTCGATATTATTCCGGAAACGCTGCTGGCTGAGTGAGGTTGGCTCTGGAAGTAGGAATTATTGGCGTAAGGCACTACTACTACTACCACCGCTAGACTGCAAGGTACACTTACCGCACCTGCGATTAGCACGGTTGGCTACATACGTGGCGACAGAAGTTCAACATACACACGTTCATGTTCACAACTATACTGTTTTATTGCGCCATGTGTTTCCTACGATTCCCATGGACAGGTTTCTAGAATAGCGCAGATAAACTGCAGCGAGCTGGATGCGACGTGCCGACACGATATCCATGGATTTTCTGTTTGCACAGTCACATAGTCACTTTAAGATGTTTTTCTTGTTCGTGTTTTTGTTTTTTTGTTTGTTGTTAGGTTGCACCCAATTCAAGAGCCGAATGGCTCACAGGGCTATACCAAAATAAACTGAAATAAACTGGAAAACTGTTCCGGCTATAACGAAACACGTTCTGGCAACTCAATGCCACTGTCGAGGTTCGCTGGCCACACCTCACCGCGCGGCCTCCGTCCCCGTCAACACCTCCCCCCCCCCCATTTCCCAAATCTGAATTCTCGGCCCTCGAAGCATTCTGCACGGCGGAAGGCATCGGGATCTCGCCGGATTTGGGAAGCTAAGCAGGCCGTCGAGCCAGGCTTGCACTGCGATTGAGGAATGGGTGGAGCGGTGAGGACATCGTTCCGTGCCCTGCGTGCGCGGTACGAACCCGGCGAGCCGAGTTCGATTCACGGCCGTGGCTATCGTCAATGTACGCACGCACGCACGTGTGTTGAACTTCTTTCGCACCGGTGGCGAGTGATATCTGAAGGGGTGCTGGATCTCACTCTGCCAACAACCGCCCCCTCTCCGTCCCCCCGCCCTCTTTCACCAACCCGCACTGCCCAGCGCGGTGAAGTATGGACAAAATCTCCTTCGTGAACCGCAGTGCGTGAGTAGGCCTCGCCTGGCACAGTGGAGGTTGTGGGTTCGATCCCGACCCTGACCCCTGTATATTTGGAGTTTGCAAGTTCTCCCCGTGGTTCGCGTGGATCTTTCTCCGGGTCCTCTGATTTTTTTCCTCCACTTTTAGAAACATCACGCGTTTTAGAATATTTGGCTGCTATAAATGTCCACACGATAAGCCACTTCGTTGAGCTATCAAGTGTGGCCAGGCCGCTTCTGAAAAACAGCTACATAGCTCAATGGGCCTTTAAAAAAAATAAAAGTTTAAATAGTTTAAGCAGTGCGTTGTGTGAACATCAGCACTGGGGAGACAAAGGCGGACAGTGGTAACCATTGTATCGAGGAACGATGGTGCCGAGGCAATCCCCAACGACGATTTGAATTCGCAATTTTCAAAATTGCGAGCCGCGCTTTCTCTCTCTTCCGCTGAGTCACCTATGGCCAGATAATTCACATTTATAGGCGTGAGCTAATCGCAGTGAAGAAGTGTGGACATCTTCTCAGGTGGGGGATAGTAACGTCCGGCATGTGTAGATAGGAAGCAGCTTTAAACCTCATAATTCCCCAATAACCCTACCTCTCTGGCATATTCACGGCAATAATATTAAAAGGAAATAAATGCGTTTGCTCAGGACATTGGATTTTAATAAAAATGTTAGCGGTTGTATTTCTACTTCAAATAGAGGTGAAAATATAATTCGCGTAAAATTATTAGACGACGCTATTGGTCATATGCTACGTGGCTTATATATGCATTAATTTAAATATATTTAAAATCAGCCAGGACAATGCATTAAAGGGGGATCTGAGAAAGGTGACTGGGTAAGTGGGGATAACGACTCAAAGGGCTTGGGTTCAATTCTAAGTTTCAGCCGCCTGTGATTAATCAGAATCTTTATTTATACTGGAGGAATCCGATGAGCTATAAAGGTCTTTTTCACAGATGTCCAGCAGGGGCACGGGGTCAGAACGCTTCAACAACAAGCAATACGGAAACACGATAGTAATACAAAAGCATTATCAAGCGGAGTTAGTGGCCGCTCACCAATGGCTGCACACAAAATAACCCCATCACATCCAAATAACTTTTTTTACACGTAACTATGGATAAAATTCCAACTCTGAAAATAAAAAACCAGGTAAGGTTGACCGTCAGCTGATGAAAATTTCTTTGATCGTGGGGCGCATGGGAAGAAGGTACTGTTGACTTCGTGGTCTGGATGAAAAGTCGCTGGAAGAAATCTTTAAAGTAGTTCTGTGATCTCTGCTTCTACGGTGCCCAGGTGCACCGCGGTATTTTCTAACTGATCAACAGAGACACGATGAAACACTTTTTTTTTAAATTAACAAACACATAGACACATGGACATCAGCGTAAACCAATTAGACAGACACATACATTGATCCATAATCGAGGTTTTTGGGGTTAAATCGGCTGGTTTAGATCGCGATCTAACCCCAAAAAACCCTCTATTATAGATGATATTGGCCGTTAAAGCCTACGTGTTAAACAGACATCGATGTGAAACTATTAAACAGACACACGTGCGATGCGCACTGACACAGAAAACACGACTCCCTGCAGTGAATGGGCTGAGCCGGGCGCTCGCCCGGGTCGGGGATTCAACCTGAGCTTTACACAACTGCGGTTCTCATCGAGTCGCCGCGAGGAGGCCCTAGCGAGTCGAGTGTAATCGAGGGGTGAGAGGCCAAACGACGCGATTGTGGACATTCCACATTTCCGTGAAGGTAGCGAGCCCGCTCGTAACGGCGTATCGGCGCATCACTTGAAAATGAGACGCACACACGAAGGGGGGAAAATCCAATCCCCAGTACAGCCTGGACCGACTGTAGGGGCAGGTGCCGTCAGCCAGAATCTATGAAGGCCAGCACAGCACACGAGGGGGTGGGTGGCCAGCATACAAAGATAAATATCCCCCGTATAGCCTTAGCAGACTGTTGGACAAGTGCTGTTAGCGAACACCGATGAAGGCCGGAACGGTACACGAGGGGGTGGGTGGTCAGCACCACGCCCGACCGCCTTTGTCTCTTTAGTAGCGATGTTTTCACACAGCACCTGGTACTCAATTTAAACTGGGTCGACCTAGGGGAGGCCCAGAACCGGTTCAAATAATTATCCACTGTTGTGTATTGCTCGTGAGCAGGAATCTCACTCAAATCGGCGGGTTCGTGGCGCAGTGCGCTGACCACTGCGCTGCACTACCGCTCCCCGATCGCCGCAACAACAACATGACCACAACCCCCACAACGACGACGACAAAACACACACGAGGCATCGACATCTTCCCGTGTGTTTCCGTCTCGTGCTGCGTGCTGGTGCGACAAGACGGCCGACGAGTTCCCCCACGTTGCCGTGACAGCTCCTTCGTCGGGAAAGAGCTGCCGCCGATTAAAGTTCAATCGCAGAGTCCAAGCCTCGACATCCACCAGCTCCACTGCTCCACCCCCCACATTCACCAGCTCCACAGCTCCACCCGCACCACCCCCCACATTCACCAGCTCCACAGCTCCACCCGCACCACCCCCCACATTCAACAGCTCCACTGCTCCACCCCCCACATTCACCAGCTCCACTGCTCCACCCGTACCACCCCCCACATCCACCAGCTCCACTGCTCCACCCGCACAACCCCCCACATTCACCAGCTCCACTGCTCCACTGCTCCACCCCCCACATCCACCAGCTCCACTGCTCCACCCCCCACATTCACCAGCTCCACTGCTCCACCCGCACCAGCCCCCACATCCACCAGCTCCACTGCTCCACCCCCCACATTCACCAGCTCCACTGCTCCACCCCCCACATTCACCAGCTCCACTGCTCCATCCCCTACATCCACCAGCTCCACTGCTCCACCCGCACCACCCCCCACATTCACCAGCTCCAGAGCTCGGGCTCCACGTTCCGCCAAACCAGCGCTCTTTGCTAATTAAATTATCAGAGGGGGACGCCACTTTCACCGATAAGACATCATGAGCGTGAGGGCCTCCACACATTTGCCACTATTGGGGCTTTGACAGCAGCACGATCGTGGAGGGGCGGGAGGGGGAGGGGGGAGGGTTACATTTGTCTGCTGTCGATGGCCGTACGTCAGGGGCCGCACTAAAGGCCACGGGGGAAGGCAACACGCTCCCGACTGCCTCCAGCCAGATCGCGTCCCACACACACACACGCCGAGCCCCGCCTGTGTCTGTACGCATGTTGAACTTCTTTCGCACCCTACGTCGCCAACCGTGCTGATCGGGGAAGGGCAACGAACGCCGTGGAGAGCACTGCCCTGCGAGCCGCTTCGATGGCTGGGCACGTGGAGTGTGGCCGTGGAGGGGGCACGTGCTGACAACACGCGGCACGAACAGAAAACAAAAAGCACCACCACCCGGGGAACAACTTGTTTCCAGCAGCAGCCAGCAGCATCAGCAGCGAGAAATCTCCACGACGATACCGCAACATTTGAAAATTAATGGGATTTGTTTTTTTTTGCTATGCGGAGACAGTGCGTGGACTAGCGGGGACTTTGCTGTTTTTTCCAGGATTTTTCTGTTGCGTGTAGTCACTTTAAGATTTTTTTTGTTCATGTTTTTATTTTGTTGCGGTTGCACCCGAGTCGAGAGCCGCATGTGTCACAGGGTTATACCTCCTAATAAATGAAAACTGGAAGAAAAAAAACTACCGGTGTGTAAACAGGATAGGATTACAACAGAGACAGTCTCTACGCCTAGTGACCCGAAGGGGGGAATAACCAGGCTAGGGAACTAAGAGGGGAACGATCTGGAGG